CTCAGAAAAATTCCTTCGATCCAGCCGTATTCGAACCGACGTCTTCTAGCATACCGTGCCGACGCTATACCAACTAAGCGACGGAACGAACCAGCGGAACTCACAAATTTTTCTATGTGTGTCTTTGTGTTTGGCTTTTCAAAGACTTTTTAGCCGTAGCGCCATCTATGCGAAATCTATGAAAATATTTCGTCACCCAATTAAAATACCTACCAGCTACCAGCCCAGGCTAAAGATGTCGCTATTCATTGTATTTAAATTTTATTGATGGTATTGGCGTGTTCAGTAACTCTGAATCGAAAGTTCTGACATCGGCTTGTTACTACGTGGGGCGCACTGTAAGCTTCCAGAATGAATAAGAAAAAAGTACTATAAATGGTCAGAAATGAATTTATTGTTTCTCAAACTGTTCTCCGTTAACGTTAATGCACTTTTTCATACGCATGAACCAATTTTGAATTCATTTACGGTTATTTTTGCGGAGTTTGTCAATAACTTCGGGCAAACAAATGGTCGTGTACCAATCACTATTCACGGTACAATGATTCTCCATAGCAACAGTAGCCACGTGTCCAGTTTTGTTAAGAAAGAAGCAATCATATGCTTAGAGACACTTTACACGCGCGCCACTTTGGTTGGTTTCGGCTCATCTCGAAAGAGCCATACGCTTGATTGCTGCTTTGTTTTGAGGTCGTAACTATAAATCCATTGTTACTATGTCCCACATCAAATTTGACTCCCATTCGTTGAATCTGGTAAGCATCACACCACGGCAAGCATCACATCTAGTAAGCATCACAATCAGGCATGGCATTACACCACGGGACGCGATCCGGGTTTTGAGCCTCAGTCAATGTGTGTGGGATCCACCGAGAGCTTAGCTTTTTCACATCCAAATGTTTGTGTAGTATTGATTGTATTTGACTCATGCTTATGCCTAAAGATGCCCGAGTCTCATGGTATGTCACATGTCTGTCTGTTTTGATAATACGGCGCACAGCATCGATGTTATTGTTATTCACACCAGTCGCCGGGCGACCATCACGAAATTCGTCACTGAGATTCACACGACCGCGTTTGAATTCTGCAAACCAGCTATAAATAGGCTTGCATGATGCTTCATCGCCAAAAGCAGTTTGAAGCCGAGAGAAGCTCCGCTGAGCTGTTGAATTACACTTAAAGGCGTAGAAAAACATACTACGAAAATTTTTACGAGTTAAATCCATGGTGATGTAGACAACCAATTTCTAAAATGACGCCACAATGTAAAAACAAGTGACAGTCAGATGAAACAAACTGTACTCTACAGCCAAAGAGTTCCATTTTCAAATGTTGTAATTACTTTTTAAATATTGTTTATGTACTCGTAAGTGTAACTGGCCAATTCCGGAAACTTATAGTGCGCCCTAGGTACTTGGAGACGGTCACTGCCCAAAGCCCAGTGATCGAAATTCAGCAGCTTGCTTTTGGGCGGTGGTTGACTCAACCCTATATTGACTATGGCTTACATGTTTAGTTTTTGTTATTAAGTTGTATAATATGAATAAATGAACAAACAAAAGAAGATTTACGAAACATATTTATAAGGCAAGTGTGAGCAGGCAAGCTCGTAACGCCGACCTAGTCGAACTTACTACGACCAAATTGAGGACGTCCTAAGAGAAGGCCAGGTCAAGAGTACTCTTAATATAAACAAGTGTCTATAATAGAAAAATTTATTTAACAGAGTCCGATCAGTACGACGCACGTCGCTGCGGGAAAAGCAGATGGCAGCTAAAGCTGACGCTCGAGGCGAGGCGCGACTTAGAGAAACTTTCGACTCGGCGGTCGACGACGAGTTCCAGGTTTGTATTTGTGTACTTAAAAAAGATGGAAATAAACGTCATATACATAAGGTTTACTGTACTCTTAAGTTCTTTATCCGTCTAGTTAATAGAACGTAGAAGCCAATTTTTAAGTTTGGTAGCCAAAATCACAATTTTGAACTCGAATATATTTGTCTCTCATTTGCATTGTGTATAAATGAAAGGCAAAATATAGTAATTCTATAGCAATAATTATAACAATAGCGATATTTTGGTAATTCTTTAGTTATATAATATTCCCGGACACATAATCGAGCCTCCTTTAATTTTTATTCTTAAAGACGTAGGCTTTCTATATAAATTACACAACACACATAAACTACCCTCGTAACGTTCTGAGGGCAGTATACGTATAATTTTTTTCTTGTGATTTTTTATGTTAAAACATACGTTTTATTTGTAGTACTGGGCGATTAAATTTTTTTATCTTGCATATGTGGACGGTAAGCTAAAAGGTTTGGGAAGTAGACAAACGGCTATAGAGTGTAATTCCCTGCCTGCATACTTGTTCCTTGATGGGTATAACTTGGGCCTTTGCAAGGTGAGAGTGAATAGGCATTATCTAGGTGCGCATGCTCCATCGTCGACCTCATCGTCACTTTCCATCAGGTGAGAAGGAGATCTCCCTCTCTCGTTGTCATAACTAACGCAGATGTTGGCCCTAAAGTTTTACTGTCACGTAAAAAAATGACCATTACGCTGATTTTGCTTAACAATAAAACCGAAACTAAGTAAGATAATAAAAAACTGATTAGAAGGGGTTGTGGATTTCATTTCGCCGAATCTAGATTTGTCAATAACTCAACTTCGCTAAAAATGTCGATTACGTTAGTTTATGTTAAGGAGGACAGAAATGGCACCTATTTTAGTTAATAAAAAAAAAACTTGAAAAGAAAATGTTTAGGAAATGAAACTATATTTCCGGATTTAAATCGCGTATATTTGTTTTTGCAAGTATACCAAAACAAAGGTTTGATACCAAATAAAAACAGATTTAAATCCGGAAAAATATTTTCATTTCTTATGTGTCACAATCGCGAAACCCTAAATACTCGATAAAAAGTCTTGTTTTTTTTATCATCGAAGGAAAAATTTTCCCCGGTTTACAAATTCAAATTTTCAACAGGGACTTATGGAAACGACTCTTAGTATACCAGTATCAAAATTGCATAATAGTTTTTGATAACATTGTTTAAGGTTTAGGGCATTTAATGCTGAAAGTGCAAAGTGGCTCGAATGATGTGTCCGGCAGTGTACTTTTTAACTAAGCGTTTTAAGTAGGCTTGACTAGACCTAGGCATTTGCTTTAATAAGTAAATGATTACTAAGCGTGATTTTCATGGACGTTGTTATTACATAAATTTAATTAAAATTGTATCGGTTTAACTATTTAGATAGATTTTGGTATCTAATCTCCAGCTTATTCAATTCTTAATCATAACAGTTTTTTTACATTTTATTACGATTATAAAATGCGTCAACGAGCATTTACTGGAATCACAATATATTTCGCCTGTTATAGTAGATAACAAAATGTATCTAGCTCACTGTTCACGTTACATATGTTGATAATGAAATTTCGTTTACTTGCATGAATTTACTAGGAACTCAAATTTTATAAAGGCTTATCAAATTAACAATTAGTTCTGCATTCCGAGCTGAATCCTTGTTCGTTGCGTTTATTTTGACAGCAATGGGTGATGACACACGGGCGTTGCCGGTGTGTTGCCTCGTCGCACCGCTGTCATTAAAAAAAAGTATCTCGCGTTTCTGTACCGGATAATTTATCATGAGGAAGCTTGTAATCTAAATACACCGACACGCCTACTGCCGCGTAACTTGGGAGCCATCTTTTTTTTTCAATCAGATATCACTATTTTATCATAAATTTAATCAATGTGGCAACATGAGTTCAGAGGATTTATTGTGAGGATGTTCATGACGCAATTCACGTAGCAGTAGCACCACTGTTGTGAAGAAATACGAACTATGATGTCAAGACTCCCAAATCCTTACCGCCATCGCCGCTTGTGCACGGTGACACCAGAACACATACTGCCGAACAAAACATTTTACAGGAGTTGTAAGATTGAAATTTTTTCCACTCTCCATACTTAACTCACTTGACCTTTACCAGTTACCAGTTTTCCGCAATTCGGATAATTATCTACAGGGAAGTAACTTCCCGTGAAGTAGTTGAAAACGAATTCCAAGACTGTCTATTTTCGTTTCCCAGTATTTTACCGCAATGGAATAAATCAGTTTCCAGCAAAATAACAGAAGTGTATTAATAATAATAATAAATTCATTTATTTAGGTAACATGGACCCAAGGTGTTAGTTACAACTACTGAAATCTAATGTTAGTAAATGTACACAAAACAACAAAGACAAAGCACAATAGAACACCACTACTTATTTTTAAGTACGTGAATCATTGAACAATGATTCACGTATGGACAGTCGAGCCGGTTTGCGATCATGCTCAGGATGCTGTTGGGGCTGGCCCGAATCCTGCGCGCCAAGGATGTGCACCGTTTACGCATCATGGTGTAGAAGCAATCTACACGTGCCTCCGCGAACATCCCTGACGCGCTGCAGGACTGCGGCAGCCCCATCAGCATCCTGAATGCATTATTGTATAGAACACGTAGAGCACTGTACTATGTCTGAGTGAAACTAACCCAAAGGCTGCTTGTGTAGAGCGTTGTACAATAAGCTAATAACACGGGTGCATATTTTTATAAAACAAATGTTATTTTGTATAACATCATTCGTGTTTGAATTCTCCTATATAAAACGGCAATTTCGTACTTTAACCCCTATTATTCAAAGCGACATAGCGATCTTTCATTAGCAAAAATAGGAAATGACAAAATAATTTTTATAATTTAACCAGCTTTTGAGTTTTTTTTAAAGGTTCAGTTATTTTGTATACTCCGGCTATAAAGATAACATTGACTATTGCTCATCCATATTTTTTTACTTTATCGTTTTGATAATATTGACGCTGATGATTTAAGCAACGCCTTAAATATTTTTGCCGCGAAGCAGCACTGGTGCGTCCCGGAATGAAGGGTAGAGAGAGCCATTGCCAACAGGAGATACAAGATCTTTTTAGCCATGGCTTAGCACCGGGAATTTTGTATATGTAGGCGGGTAATTTTCAAAAATTAAGCTCTTCTTTTTCTTTCTTACTTTCAAAAATTATTCTCTACCAAAATTAGGTAGAGAAAACTAATATGAAAGTTAACCAGACATAGTCCTACTGTTTTTTTTAGTTGCCAGTTTGCATATATTTTTTTTTATATTAGACTATATTTTTGTAATTTATTTTTCTTAGTAAAGCTTTTACGTTTATACAGGTCTATTACTTTTGATGCTACGAAAATGGGATGTCTTCTCAACGTTAAGTATCTCAGCATAGAATTTGTAACATTTGATTCGTATTATTGAGTCAAGTAAGTACTGTAAAGTAAATGCATCGTTTGAATTTGTAGTCCCATTTTATATCCGTGTAATGGATTGTATGCGTAATTGATATATGTAAACATACATATACAATAGACCAGTGTGTCCTTAAGATGGAAAATTAGTAAACAAATTGGAAACCATTTTACATTTTATGTTGACAATATTTTGTAATATTTATTTATTAATATCTTTTATACCATAACATTCATATATTTTTTGTGAATATACTCCATTGTATATATATTATAGTTGCCGGGTTTTCATTATACGAGTACGCGCGGATCGAGACCACTTGGATGACTACTTAGATGACGTCCGTGTGCGCTCGGATCACGTGTTTACACGTTACGAGTAGCGTCCGAGTCGTCATCAGAGTGTACTCGGTTCGAGCGCACTCGTATAGTGAAAACCCGGCTTAAGAGGAACATACTTTATTTTGAATCAAATGTCTTGAGCTCTAGGAAGAACAAATGAAGTCTTATAAGAATTTTGAAGCACACTAAATTTTTCTTTGTTTATCAGTTTTATATGTTTTAACAATCATTACGCTAAATTCAATAATTACGATGTATTTGACAAAAACGTGCAAATTGCTCTAACATTTCTATTCCCCCAAAAGATGGGGTAAGAGGAACAGTCATAGTATTTTTCATATAGAGGTAATGTATGCCTCGTGTTCTCAAGGTCCCACACCAGGCAAGTTTGATTTTCCGCCTTTTGGATTTGGAGCATAGTAGCGACATCTCTTTAAAATAGTTTAAACTTATTTATTTGTCTGTTTTATCTTATTATATAAAACAATTCTCGTTACTTCCAAACAATTTTAACATGAAAAAAAAATGTCAAGTCAATAGAAATGTGCAAGGAATGGATCCTAGTATAGTTTTGTAGGACAGGGTCAAAAGTATGTCAAGCTTGACATTTGAAATTTTAAGTGAACTCATAACTGGAATAACAACAGTACAAAGTCGCAATTATCAGCACGTTAAATGCTTGACGGCACCTAATTAGGGGATGTGTAGAATGTGTAGATGGGTCTACTGTGTATTAAATTCTGTCCAACCGCGATCGCCAGCCCTTCTTACCATGTCTTCTTTTTAATAAACACCTTTCAGTTACAAATGAAAAAAGCAAAATAAAAACATTTGGCTCAACTACATTTCAACTAGTAAATAACAATGATAAAAAATTAAAGGTTCTTAGGTTGTCGCGTTTGCATTGCATTGAAAACGAAACTATTTAGGAAATGAAACTATTTTTCCGGGTTTAAATCGCGTGTATTTGTTTTTTGAACAAATCAACATTTCGGGCCCTTTACAGGTCCCATGGTCACGGTTGGCTGGCCAACCAGAAAAACAAATATACGCGATTTAAATCTGGAAAAATAGTTTCGTTTCTTATGTGTAACAATCGCGAAAACTTAAGAACTCGATAAGAAAATAAGAAACTATTTGTTTTGGATTCTTGTTTATTCTCTTCGTTTATTGTCTTCACCATGGGACTTGC